GACAGCGACAATTCACACTTGGTTAAATTAATGACTGCCAAAGTCATCCCCAGAAAGAGTGAGCTGAAAAGGAGTTGTAAAAAAGAAAGTACAACTTGATTGGATGGTGTGTGAAAAGCTCTAAGAGTCATCAAACATTATACTTCAACACTGCAGTGGAGCAAATAAAGGCTTAAATAGTTTCTTTAGCATCAGTAAAAAGGCTTTTACTTCAGCAAGGCTGAAGTCAATGCTGAGAGATATTTTTGAACTAGGAAATAACATGCTTACTGCTTAGCATGAGTAACAAGGACTTGATTTGAGCCTTAACTTGAGCATTTGCTATACTGAGTAGATTGAATTTTATTTGCCCATATGGCTCCTGCAGAGTTCCTACAAATACTCAAGAATGCCACAGAATGACATTAGCTTATTAATATCTGAGCAAAAAGTAATTCTGTCAGTTCAGCGGTGTTTTCTGGGAGATGTACATGTTCCCTAGCAATAGGTTGACAGAAGACTAAAATTTGTTTCTTAGCAGCCCTATTCAGTACCTGACAATGACAGAACTGGTTTAGGTAACAGACTGTAAGGTTCATGGCCATATCCTGTTCTTCTTTTGCAGAGAAAAGCCCTATTGACTTCAAAATAAGATTTGTACTTGGAACAACTGTATATATTGATTCTTCTTGATTAGTTCTCATAACCATATGCAGCCAGATCTATGTCTGCTATAACACGTGCATCCTTACTCCTGTCATTGTTTGTTGTGTAGATATCCCATGGATTTTGGCAGGATGTCTGTGTTTGAACTACAAGTGTGCCTGAAATAATTCTGTCTTTACTTCTTACAGTTTTGTTGTGGGGCTCTGAAAGGAAATCTGCACATACTTGTCCCAGGTTGTAATTCTGCACAATTACAGCAGAGATGAACTGACAACAAAAAGCCAGAATGCTGCTTTGTTTGTCTGCACCTACAGTACTTAACTAAAATTTGTACACTGTTCACAGTTGGTGGGGAAAAAAATATGGCTTTGTGGCCACCAAGAGCATTCTGTTTTGCATCCACAACCAAAACTGGCACTTCGTTTAGGACTAGACAAAAGGGGGAAAGGAAAACAAAGGCACATAAGGATCTTTTCCTAAATACCCGCTAAATACAAGTTAATCCTAATTGCATTTACATACAATCTATACAATAGTATTTATGTAATGTAAGTTTTATCAAAACCTCACAAGATTTTTCAGACTTTTTCAGATTTATTGGGATTACTAAAAACATTAATAAAGAGCATGCAAGATTGTCTTTGAGACGTCTATACAGTTCAGCTACCTTTAAAGGACTTCCTCTAGATAATATGATACAACTTCAGAAGCCTAAAGACTTCTGCTAAAAGAGGTCACAGCCAGAAAGCGATGTTAGGTTATATCATCCTATGAGTAACAGGTAAAGATCAGAAAAGATCAAAGGTTGTAACAAAGAGACTATCTATCTTAAATTATCTACCCAGGTTACTGAATTGTTTGTGGTTACTCCTTGACTCCTTGACTCTGCAAAGAGACTTTCATTTTTTATCTATCAAAGTTCTGGGTACTTAGGCTTTTTCACAATTGAAGATCTAATTGTGTAAGTTCTGCTGATTTAAAGTCAGCAATTTTTTTTCCCAACTGGAAGTGTTTGAAAATATCATCATTCTATTATATACATTGATGTGGCTAGCTTTTTTTTTTTTTTTTTTTTTTTTTAAGAAACATAATTAAAAAAAAAAATAAAACACCATCTCTTTTTCTGTATCTTTAGTAAGAAAATGATGAATGGGAAAATGCAAAATAGAAAAACAAAGGCTCCCAAAATGATGGAAGTGGCATTGTTAGGCTCTGTATTTTAAATTAGAAGTAACTGTTCTGAATGCATAAGCAATCAGACATCCATTTATTTCCTAGTAATAATCTGAAGCTCCACTAATTGCAGTAGAATCACACACAAAATGAACACTTCCTCCAAAAGCCAGACTTACTCAAATGAAAACTTCATGTTTTACGATAGTATTTTCCACATTAGATTTCTACTCATGGCTACGTCACTGTGGATAAACATGCATATATTTAAACATAGAAAAACATACTCTTTTAGTCTAAAAACTGAGCCACAGAAAAGCCACTAGACTGAATACAGATTATTTATGTGAATCATTAGTTAAACAGAGGTGAGAACCAAAAAAAGCATGAGTTGCGATTTCTATTTATAACATTCAAGTTTGAGTGTCATTTCTAAAGGTCTTTTTGTCACAGTCAGTTGCTCCGTGTTGTTACACATCAAGAAAAAAACTAGCTCAAAGGATAGCCTGTGTTGCTAACACACACCTAGTAAACATCCGGTCTTCACTTTCCTTTCAGTCATATCCTTTTTAACACTGAATAAATCTGGGCTAATACCTGTGTTTTTACCATTTGGGTCATCATACGATTTCCACTGGAAGATGTGCCAACATGTAGAAAAATATGGGATGAATATTCGGCAGATCTGAATGAAATTCTGAATACTCCCCATTTCACTTTGAAGACAGACAGCCCACTAAGACTTCCTGATGGACTTCATCCATGTGACTGAATGACTCAAACCAAGAATACTCATGTACATTATGTTAAACATCTGCACCTGTTCACATATTCAGGAACATATTTTCTATAAGCTACTAATAATCACTTGCCTAATGAAAAAATAATTTTGAGGCATTTAATTTGTCACATAATGAAAGCACCCATAATGTACGTCTCCATTTTAGAGTCATTTTACAAAACAATTTCATATTCAGAAGAAATTGCACTTCGATGAAAAGTTATACAGTGTGATCATTGCTGTAGCTAAGCTATAGAAAAAAATCTGTTAAAAATAACAGTCATGCTGCTAAACCATGTTAGCAATGAATGTGGGTTTTGACATGAATTTTAAGGAGTACCCTGTTTCTTCCCTAAACTCCTGCTTGAAATGTGCAGAGTATGATTTGTTCTCCACTTTCTCACTTTGGCTTTAGTCAGTTATTTTCCTGTTTTACATATGAGTAATTTGCCATAAAGTTTGAAGAATCTAGACAACAAGCAAGCACTGTGAGGAAAGGGAGAAATATTAGAAATTTCGAACTCACAGTAAGAATAAAATACTCATTAAGTGCCAAGACACTTCTGCTACATCTTCATTCACCCTCCTCCAGTGCTGATGCCTTTCAAAAAGCTGTGCATCACTAACATGTTCTCACCTGCAACAAATGTTTCCATTTAGCAAAACATCTTTCAGTTCATGCTCTTCATTATGCCCTTAATAAAGACAATCTCAAAATGAACCTTCCGTGACTCTCTCTCATTTTACTGTTTTGCTACCCTCTGCTGGCTTTCTTTTCTCAGTCACATTAAACCGAATCTGCTGATACTCACTTTGAAAGCTTCTTGTTAGGTAATTTCTGAAACAGTGCTTGGGGCTGGGAAAAAGGAAGAGTGAAGCTAATAAGGTGGCACTGAATTCTTTCATCACTAGTGACGTGAACAGGGATCTTCATCCAGATCACCAGTTTTGATGACATTTCTTAAAATAATGAACTCCAAGGCATGGTGTCATTACGCCTATTCAGCTCTCCTATGCGATGCATATTCTTTGAGTCTCATAGTAACCATGCCCATATTTCTGACCTTTTGAGTGAAAATACAGAAAACCTCTATGCATATCCACATCATTCAGATGAGCATTCCACATGCCCTTGATCTCCACATTCCTTCAAATCATTCCTTTTCCCACTCATTATTCACTATCTCAGGAAAAGAAAAAAAAAAGAAAAAAAAGAAAAAAAGAAAAAAAGAAAAAAAGAAAAAAAGACAGTGGGCATGTCATAGTAAATCAGGTAATTTTGACTGATTTCCCAATGCAAAATTGCAGGGTAAAAACTATAGTTTGCAGCTGCATATTCATCACACTTGAAATCCCAGGTAAAATCATTTCTCTACAGCGTGTGGCTGTTCACAGAAATGTGCAGTTATCCCTGAGACTCTCATTATTGAGAAGAGTTGTAAATTGTGGAGAGGTCAGTGAAAAGCCACTGATATGATTAAAGTGGGCTGGAGGCACTGACTTATGAAGAAAGATGAAAAGATCTAAATAAACACGGACTGGCTGTGAAATGCTTAAAAGGTATCAAGATAGCCATTAACAAATAGCTGAAGGATATGAAAACTAAGGAGGAAAAAAAAAAAAAAAATAAGATATCTCAGGTAGCATTAAGGAGAACAGACAAAAGTAATGAGATGAAAATTAAGAAAGGAAAATCTTAGCCAAATGTCTGGAAGTGCAATGCTTCACACAGTGAGGCACTACCCCAGGGATAATGAGACAAATAGAGCTGGATATACAAAACTGAACGAATTGTACAACAGGGATTAACCCTGCCTTTACAAAGTGGTAAGCCAAAATGTACAAATAGGTCTTTATCACCTCCAGCATCTCTGAATTACTGCTGAGATAGCTTAGCTATTAATGGAATTCCCTAGTGGACAACGCTGCCCACATCCTGCAGAAAGTCTGTGAACAGTGCAGTTTCCGAAGATAAGAACTCTGCAAACAAAGCAGCTTACAGCACTCCCCAGAAATGCTCTGCAAAAGAGTGAAGCAAACTCGGTGTTTTCTGAGTCCACTGAAGTTACTGCAGTGGTGATTTCCAGAAGTTTTGTGTTCATTGCAAACTGCCATGCCACAGAGCAGACATGCAGTTCTGGCTCGGGTAGACTGCTGGAAACCTCAATTGTTACCAATCTGCACACAGCCTGATTGTCCTGTTTGGCTACCAGATATGGAGTAACTGTGAACAAACTGATGAAGACATCAAATGTTCCAGAATAAAATTTTCAGGAGGAAAAGATGAGCCTATTAAAATCACATGCAAGATAACTCCTTGTATGGCAATTAAGCAACTAGAGTCAGGACAATTTTTACCACTTCTCCTTACCAGGAGGAAACGTAAACTGTTCTTTTCACTTCAAGGAAGAAGGCATAATTGAATAGAAATAAGTGAATGACTAAACAAAGAACTAAACAGGTAGAAGAGAGGGATAATTCGACTAGAGTCTTCTAAAGACATTGGAGAACCTCTTGAAATCACTTGAAGAAGTGGTACCATAGACCCTGTAATCATTCGTGTAGTCATTGAAGATATCAAATACCAAAGATGCCTCAGGAATCTGGCATTAAAGGCTAAACTGTAAAGGAGCCTGACTTTTGGCACCATCATTCGGTGTTGCACCATTAGCGTGTGGCAGATTGATGCCATCAAGGTAAAGACCTCTTCACTAGCTGAATCTCTCCAAACCATATTCAACAGAGTGTTTGTCTGCTGCTTTGTATCCAGTTTCTTTAGACACTCCTCAGTAATGTACTGAACTGATATTCTCCCATCACCTGGTGTAGTTGTCATTTCACTGATCTCTTCATCCTCATCTTCAGAATCACTGTTTGCATCTTGACAATTTGTACCAGCACTAGATACAGGCAGCTGAGAGAGAAAAGCCTGGAGTACCCTCAAATATACAAGCAGTCCTTCTTCTGAAAGGGATCCCAAATACGTTTCTCCAACTGTTAGCACGAAGTAAAAAAGCCATGGAGCTTGATCACTTTTTCTTGAACATCCATTTTCTGCTAATAATAGTGCATTCAGAAAGAATTCATAAGGGAAAACGATCTGCACATCAGCCAGCGCTGGAATGATGAAATGGAATATCTGATCTGTGAAAGGTGCTGCCACAAACTCCTCTGTGAAGGCTGCAAAAATCTGTTGTCTTGCACCTTCTGGACAGGAGCTGTATGTAAAGTGCAATGGTTTCAGAACATTCTCCAGAAGTATTTTTGCAAGAGGGACTCGAGAAACATCAGAATACTCAATACTTGATGGAAGCTTACTATTAATTAACAAATAAAGCGACTTGTAGTAGCCTTTCTGAATCATGTAGTGCAAAATTTGTTCAATTAGTGATGTTACATAGCTGACATCTTGTAAAACAGGTAAATATGTATTCTCAGATGAAAATACCTCAAGCATTCTCATGGGAAGTGCAACATTCAGACTGTCGTCATTGCAGTTTTGCAATAGCCTGCAACACAACCCCAACAGTCTTTTTATTTGGAATAAGCAAGTAAGTCGGTCTGGACCATCCAATTGCTTAACAAACTGAGAACTCTGTTTAATTAAATTCTGACACAGCCATATCAAACGCTTAGAATCCTCATTCTGTTTATAGAAAAAGAGTAGCTGACGAACTAGAAGAGTCAAATTAGCTCCATTAGCTGTAGAAAAGGTTCCTCCAGTTTGGGCCAAATTAGCACAGCGATCAAATTCACTTCTCTGGGTAGAGTACTGATGATTTCTGTCTCTATAACCCCTTACAAATGATTGGATTATTATTGCATTTTTCAGCCTTCGCCTTTCTTCCTCTCGTTTTCGCCTTTCTTCTTGAGTGCGATGCAGGAGCGAAGCCTTTTCCTCCTTCCTACTCGCTCCTCCAAGAGACACCTTGGGCCTTGTTTTGAAATCCCCTTCAAAGCTGAACATGTTTACCGCTTATCCCATCTAGAGCGGGACCCGGCCCGGAGCGGACACCGCCGCCAACGCCGAGCGGAGGGACCGCCGCGGCCCGGGGGAGCCGCGAGCCCCCGGCTGGCAACCCGCGGCCGGCGAGCCCCGCGCCGCTCCCCCCCGTCCCTCCCCCGCCCCGCGCCCTTCGCTCCCCCGGTCGCCCCCCTTCTGACCGGCGGCCGCGGCTGCGCGTAGCGGGAAGGAGTTTCTGCCCAGAATTCTGCCCAGGCTAAGACAAGAAAGATCTCCCTGTCTTTCAGTTCTTGCATGTCCACTTGCAGACACTGACATCTCCAGCTGCGAGAGATTTTAGTCCTCTGCAAGACTGTAAGTACTCAGAGAATGAAACCTGACCAATTGATAGACTGATGGTACAGGGATCCCCACGTCCACTGGAAGGGTAGCTATCTACATGGCACCAGAATGAAGATAATTGCATCATGTCTGCTCATTGTAAATAGGCCATCTCTCATCACTGAACCTACAGCAATGAGCATAAAACACTGAGGAAGTGACAAGCATGCTATACAACCCAAGAAACGTGTGCTGCCTGTACAGCAGTCTCAGATGTGGCACAGTAAAATGGTCTTTTTCATATTCACACTTGAATAAGCTGAGTTCCTCCTGCACATATCTGATTTACTTCAATTGTAATGTGTTATTATCATCTCTCTTGTGATTCTGGGCTGTGTTCCTACTCACCCACTCTTTATTATTTGTCTGCTTGCTGATTCCATGCCACTTGCTCTGTGCTGTGTATGCTGTCATGAGTCTGAGCCAGTTGCTGTGATAATAGGCAAAACTCCACTGCATGCCTGCCCTCATCCTCTCACAATTAACAAAAATATTACTTTTCCTTCAGTTAGCTGAATATTCATTCTCCATTACATAAGGGGTCCATTCTCCTGAAAAACACCCTTAGCATGTCTGATCAGGCTGCAAATCTATCTAGAATAATCCTGCTTAGCAGGATGATATTTAGGGGCTGGACATTATTACTGATAAATACAACTCTGTTCCACATCGTTATTTGTACTACTTGCCCAGGATATACACCTGAAAAAGTGAAGATCTTAATATAATTTTTAAAGAGTTCCATACCGAAAGCACAAGCAAGAAATGATAAAGACTTTGAAGGTGAGATATGTCCTCTGACAGGCAATTTTTTTTATTAAGCTCCTCAATAGTAACCTTCCTCAGGTTGCATTTGTGGAGAGATTATTTCTGTAGTTGTATTATAGTACATAATGTCAGTTGTGACAAACTAATTCTTAAAACATTTCTGGTCTGAAAATCTATATATAAGATTTCAGATATGGAATATTTTTTTATGCCAAAGGTTATTCTTTTCTATTCCATTTGCTTAAGTGCACTTTTTAAACCTTATCATTTTTTCTGGCAATGCATGCAGCCTGACAAAACAACTCTCTCCTCCAAACACAGAGATGTTGAAATGATACAGAACCATGAGGAAAATATATACTTAGATAGTACCAAGAAAACTAGTTCTGCATTTAGTCAAGACCCCTCCAAATAATACATTACAGGACACAGACAACACCCAGAGCCCACATTATTAACTGGAATCTGATAACATATTGCCCAAATAATATCTAATTTTTTTTTTTTTTTTTTTTTTTTTTTTTTTGAGAATTTGCATTCTCATAAGTGCAACAGCCATCATTGCAATCTCTTTCCTCACATCCTGTGTCTTACCTCCTTGTGTTCAGAGTGGCTTCAATCTGGTACAGCCACATAACCTGGAACCAAAATGCAATGAAAACAGCTGTGATGAAAGAAAGCCTCGTGAGATGCCTCAGATAGGGTCACAGCTTCAGTCTCTGTATTTGCTTTTTGCTGGAGCTGTGTTGCAGGTTTGCTGGTACCCAGCCTCATGCCTCATATCCTTGCCTTGCTCATGGGACTTTGTGGCTTTATCAGAGAACAGTCCTGTGGCCACAGATCATGTGGTATGGCCATCAAAGAACCTCAGACTGGCTAGGGTTGGCAAAACCTCTGGGTCTATTTGTTCCAAACACAGCTTCAACAGCACCACCAAGAACAGGGTGTCCAGGCCTAAGTCCAAGCTGCTTTTGGAAATCTCCAAGGAGAAGACTCCACAACCTTTGTGGGAAGCTGTGTCAGTGCTTCATCACCCACACAGCACTGAAGTTTTGATTGGTGGTCAAGAAGAACCTTTTGTGTTCCAGCTTATGTCCATTGCTTCTGGTCCTGGCACCAGGTAAAAGCTGGTTTCATTCTCTCTGCACTTTCCTTCAAGTATTTACAGACATTAATGAGACCTCTCCAGTCCCATTAGCCTTCTCTTGAACAGAAGGAGAGGTGCTGCTCAGACTCAGATGTCCAGTTTATTTCAGATTGTGAACTTTAAACTGGATATCCCATGTCCTTCTTCAAGATGTAGACATTGGAATTCCCTGCGTTTGAAATTTAAGATGTCTGAAGGTATTCTAGTCTTGAAAAGTACTGTTTAGTTTGCTTGTTAAACACTATCAAATTAAATTTTTAAAAACAATTATGTGAGATGAACCATAACTTCATAGTTAGAGACAAGGACCTTTTGTGCTCTGATTATCTAGAGCTTCACTCACTTTTTGATAGGGTATCTTTTTTGGAAGCAATATGCTTAAAATACAGAATAAAGAGCCAAAGGAGAAAGGAAGAGCCAGCAATTTGCCAACTAAAAAACAAACAAACAAAAACAAAAACAAAAACAAAAACCCTTCCCTGTTATATAGTGAAGTCATTAACTATTTTTATCATCTTAAAAAATATGTCCAAATATCCCACTGTGCTCCTAGCAGAATCATGATTTGATGTTGCCTGAGAGGCCAGAACAGTGCAGTCTGGCAGGTGTTTAGGTCAGGATAAAATATGACATTTGTGCTCCCACTCAAGAGCTGGTACCAGTTCTGGATGATTTGCCAAATGAGGATCTACTGGGAAGGTCTCAGTTTGATAGATAAATAGCCCATAAAAGATTTTTTGGTGCTAAGGCATCCAAGAGATTGCTGCATTTCTGCTACTTTGTGCAATCTACAGGCATTTTAATCAGCTTCGCTGGCTTCCTAACAGACTGAGCTTGTCTTTGGTATCTTATATACTGAGATCTATAAACATCTTCAAAGTAGAAAACAAAAAATGCAGAGTCCTGCAAATTTCCCACTGAGACACAGTTATGCAAAATTTACTGCTCCAAAGTAAACGACAGAGAAAAAAGTAATGAGATTCTGCAAAAAACTAACAAATTAATTAAAACTTTAAATGTCTAGGATAGATTAAAATTTGAACGTTTCACCTGGAATGAAATCTACTCCTATTATACAAAGATGTGATCATAGGTTTTCATTTACAGATTTATCAAAACAGAGTGGTGATAGACTTGATGAAGAATGCACAAGATACTCCCCAGGAGAACTTGGCAAACTTTATTGTAAGTAAAGTTAAGGAGATCCTTAATCATAAATTCATAGAATCACAGAACCATTAAGGTTGGAAAAGACCTCTAAGATCATCAAGTCCAACCATCCACCTACCACCAATACTGCGCTCTAAACCATGTTCCTTAGTACTACATCTACATGGTTCTTGATCACCTCCAGGGATGGTGACTCCACCACCTGCCTAGGCAGCCTGTTCCAGCACCTGACCACTCTTTTGTAGAAGTGGTCCAACATGAACCTCCTCTGCTGCCATTCCCTCTAGTCCTGTCGTTAGTTACACTGGAGCAAACAATGCCTCTCACCTCACCACTACCTCTTTTCAGGTAGTTGTAGAGGGCTATACAGCCTCTCCTGAGCCACCTCTTCTCCAGACTAAACAATGCCAATACCCTCAGCTTCTCCTTGTAAGACGTGTGCTTCAATCCCTTCACCAGTTTTGTTGCCCTTCTCTGGACACAAGAAGAGCCTATTTCTTGTAGTGATGGGCAGGTCTCAAGATATGGCCTCACCAGAGGTGAGTACAAGAGGACCATCACCTCCTTGCTCTTGCTGCCTGCGCTGTTTCTGATACAAGCCAGAGTGCCACTGGCCTTCTCGGCCACCTGTGCACACAGCTGGCTCATGTTTGGCTGAGCATAGACCAACATCCCCGGATCTATTTCCTCCACACAGCCTTCCACTCTGTCCCAAGCCTGTAGTATTGCCTGGGGTTGTTGTGACCAAAGTGCAGGACCAGGCACTTTTGGTTTTGTTGAACTTCATCCCATTGGCCTCAGCCCTGCTATCCAGACTGTTAGGTTGCTCTGAAGGGCCTTCCTACCTTCAGGCAGATCAACACTTCCTCTCAACGTTGTGTCAATGGCAAACTTACTGAGGGAGCACTCAGTCTCCCCACCCAGACCATCAATAAGGATATTAAACAGGATAGGCCCAAATACTGACTCCTGGGGAGCCTCATTTGTGACCAGTCCCTAGCTGGATTTAACTCCATTCACTACTGAGGTCACCTGCCTCTTAAATTTGACACTCTGAATTAAAAGTGGTAAGGAACTTTCAAAAACATTCATGCAAGCAGCTCAACAACTAGATGAAACGCAAAACTAGCAGTTGAATGTACACAGAGAATTCATTGCTGTAATACAGCATGAGAATGAAATGAAGCTCTCTATCTCTTCTTCCAGGAATTGGCAAGGTGATAAGAAAAAGATGATACTTCTAGTGACACAGGAACATTTATCATCATGTTGGGGCATTGATCTCTTGCTGAAAGAGGAAATTCTCAGTCATAAAAGATAACCTTGCTTTTATTTTTTTTTTTTAATTAAGAATTTCTTAGTAGAGATAAACCTTAAGCTTACTTCCCAAGGTTTCTGAGGAGAACAATCCAAGTTAGGGATTTTTTCATCACTGTCTCCATTTATTGGTAGATGACCTGTAAATGAACTAAAAATTCTACTCACAGGTAAGGCTACATTTAACTTTAGTTCATGCAATACCTCAGCTGTACTAGAAGTTAGAAGGAAAAAAATAGGAGAAAAAAATTGTGATCTTGATTTTTGTT